CAGAGTCTATCTAAAGTACTCTGGCTATCGTGTATGAGGTCAGTAACATAGTATAATTGTGCTCGAGAGTCTGGTTTTCAAGGAATGATTTGAAGTTTTCTCATAGCAAAACAATACTATCTTATCACCTGTGCTCTGGGGTGCCATTTGCTCCTTGTATTTTAGGGCCTAAAATGAATATTCAGCAGTTCTGTAGGGATAAGGAGTAAAACCCTGGCCCAGCAAGTCAGCGGTTTCATGTTGATCTCGTATATACAGTCTAGAGTATTCCTCTTTTTTTTTTAAAGCCATAAAAAGTTGTTACAGTCCTTCCCAGGTGGCTAAACTTTGTGAACGCTGAGCTGGAAGAGCATTTCTTGGCATATGGTGAATGGTTCTGAAGACGTTTCTCCTATCTAAACTTCCTGGCCAAACTGTAAGAAACTGGAAGGGCAGCGAGAAAGTTGAAGCATGCCACGTAAACTCTTTGAGGCAAATGCAGTGCTTCCCGTGGTGCTAAAGTAACACCAGTTCTACAGCTATGGGACACATGGGATTACTTGTGAAATCTTCCTGACATTGGAAGAGTTCAACATTATGTAGGTCAGATTTGCATGAGAGCATGGGTTATGTATGGGGCCTGTTGTTTTAAAGCTGAGCGTAATGACTTACCCATTGCCTGGCTGAGGGCTCTTTTTTAATGTTAAACACCCATGGAACTACGGTGGAAGCAGCCTCAGTTGGCCACATTTCTGAGAAAAGTGCATCACAATAGAACATTAGTCATCCTTGCTTGATAAAAACAAGAAGGGTGAATGAAAAAGCGCTCTCAAGAGCAGCTTATATTGAAAGTGCCGCTTTGCTTTTTTTTTTTTTTTCAAGAGTGTGTGTGTGAAGACACTGTTGCTACTTGAAAACCTCTCAGTTTGAGGTTTGAAAAACTACCGACTCCTTGGGATTGCAGGACCTGTAACAGTGGTTGATTCAGCCCTTTATCCTTCTGAAGAAGAGAATCAGAATTCTGGCTTCTGCCATGGCATGAGGCATCTGATGTGTCCTTGAAAACAACAGAGTAGAAAAGGTCTGTCTGCTCTGCATAAACATTCAAGAGCACATAGCATTTTCTGTGCGAGCTGGGGTTTTGTCCTGAGTCACTACTCTCTTCTTTCTCCGCAACTGTGCATCTAGAGCTGCTGCTTTCCAGCACATTACCCAGTGCAGTCACATTGCAGGTGAACAGTGTTTGCAGCATGTGAAAGACTTTTTAAGTAAGTAATAGTGACCAATTGCTGTATATTGAATAAAGGCTGTTCGTCGTTCTCTCTTTCAGTGCGCAGTGGTGAAGGGCAGTTTTCCAGGATTGATTAAACGGTGCAGTGCCAGATGTTAGGATCTGTTGGGCTGCGTGTAGATCTCGGGGGAGAAAAAAAGCTGATTTGATGACTTATGGAAAGATTTTCCTTATAAAAGAAAAACATAGAGATGGTTTTATAATCTCATAGATGTTGGCAGAAAAAAATAAAGGAACTCTAGATGCGAAAGACTGATTTGAGCGCTGGGTATGTTAGCTGGGTGTCGTGGTTTAACCCCAGCTGGCAGCTAAGCCCCACACAGCCACTTGCTCACTCCCCCCAGTGGGATGGGGGAGAGAATCAAAAGAGTAAAAGTGAGAAAACTTGTGGGTTGAGATAAAGATGGTTTAATAGGTAAAGCAAAAGCCGTGTGCACAAGCAAACAAAACAAGGGATTTGTTCCTTCCTTCCCACCAGCAGGCAGGGGCTCAGCCCTCTCCAGGGAAGCAGGGCTCCATCACACATAACGGTGACTTGGGAAGACAAACACCATCACTCTGAATGTCTTCCCCCTTCCTTCTTCCCTCAGCTTTATGTGCTGAGTGTCATGTCATATGGTATAGGATATCCCTTGGGTCAGTTGGGGTCGGCTGTCCTGGCTGTACCCCCTCCCAACTTCTTGTGCATCCCCAGCCTCCTCGCTGGTGGGGTGAGAAGCAGAAAAGGCCTTGACTCTGTGTAAGCCCTGCTCAGCAGCAACTAAAACATCCCAACACTGTGTCTAGCACAAATCCAAAACATGGCCCCATACTAGCTACTATGAAGAAAAGTAACTCTGTCCCAGCCCAAACCAGCATACTGGGCCATCAGGATAAGAATTATTTCTGTTTCTTCTTGTAATATATCATATCAGTCAGATGTTAGCCAGCATTGCAGAGAAGTGGCAAAAATGCAGCACTAGAGAGACCCCAATATACCTAGCAGGTGGTACTCATAATGCTGAAGGCACTAAGCTCACACCTGTAAGTTCAAAGACTTAACGCTTGGTCCTTCATTCCCACATTTGTTCATGTTGTGGGCAAAATCTTGTGATGGGAGTCACTTGAAACTGGCTCATGAATTCACTGGGATACAAGGAGTTCTTTAAGAATATGAAGCATTTTTACATGTGATATGATTTAGAAGTTTGCTCTTTTTCTGTATGACTAATTTCATTATAATTTCAAGCTGTGTAGTTACACAACAGAGAGAATCACCCTCTGCTGTTAAAGTCTCTTTTATTCTCTGCCTCTTATTTGGTTTGCCATTGAAACTTTGGGACAAATGCCTCAAGAAATGGTGTAACAGTCTCTCTAAGGCTTTGGAGGCCTGGACAAAGCAATGGAGAGGACATGCAACGTGCAACTTATGCACTAGGGAATCATGAAGAAGACATTCAGTTATTGTTTTTTGTTTTCTGAGTAAAATTACAGTTGTAATTAAATTAAAATGCAGAACTCAGGCTTATGAGGTGTTTGGTGCCCTCTGCTCCTCCTGATGACAGTAGGTCTGAAGAGTGACAGTTCAGATTTAGGTTTTTTTCCTTCCCCTCCCATGGCTATATACCACAGTGACATTTGTTCAAAGCCTGAGATGGCATTTAGATTAAACTTTTGGAATCCAAGTCTTTAACTCTGCTTAAAAGAGTAACTCCAAGGCAGATAATAAGGCTGCGAGGATAAGCTGTTGCTTCAGATGAGTGAAAATACCGTTTTAAAGCCCTACGTGTGCATCATAGGAATTCAGGACTAGATTTGGGATTTTTTTTAACTCCTTTTTAAAAATGCTGGGTTATTATTGGGTATGATCTGTGTTCGTGTTACACTAAAATATAATTGACTATAAAAGAGTCTTGACACATTGTGCTTTTTAGGAGGTCACTTCTCTTTAAGAGTTACAAGTAATATGTCCTAAAATACAAATTTCCAAATATGGATTAGACTGTACAATATAAAATAATTTGGTATATGCCCAAGCAAATAATAAGCTCACTTGTCTGATATTAAGCATTAAAATAGGATTAACTAAAGGTATCTTAAAAAAAAGAAATAAAGGAGGAGCCCTTGTATATAACTTCAGAAGGACAAGGTGTTTTGTACTTTGTGTATGGTCACCGTACATTTGACTTTGGACAGAATGACAGCGCAAGAGCGGATTTTGAGAATGTCTAGGGGAAAATGTCAAAATTCCATTCACTTAATTTTGAGAAGGTGTGAGTCTTATCCGCATGTCTTCAGCACGTCAAAGTTAAAACACTGTTGCTTCTGGAAAGAAGTTGACAACGAAGGGAATGATTAGGCAAGATCAGTGACCAACTATTTGTGCATCTCACCTTAAAAGTCCACAAGGACCAAGACAGCCCCACCAAGAGTCTGGGCTAAGGCACCCGCTTGCAAGAATTGTCATCGATGCAATTTCTGTTTCGGAGGAATGGAAGTCGATGTTGAGCCTGCTGGTAACCGAACAGGTTCCATAGGTGGGTTTATCAAGTGTTGCCTCCAGTGCCACTGGGAAAATCTTATTGCTGGTTTTTATGCCTCTATCACCGAAAATTAAAAAGAAGCAAGCGGGGTGGGAGGAGGTATGTGTTCACTGTTCTTGCTGCTCTTCGTATGATCTTACCTTTCAAACCTGATGCTCAGGGAACTGCAGAATGACACTGTTGCTCAAAACTGATTTTGTTCTTGGATTCTTCCCTTACTTAGAAACATAGCTTTTAGGTGAAGGAGAAAACAATTATTTCTTCTACTAAAAATTAGCAGGCTGGAGTTACTTGAGGATGCAGGCAAAACTACAGAAATTTACTTAGTGGAATACATCTGCATTCCCATGTCCTATGCAGAAATGAAAAACCAAGAAAAAAATGTAGATGTCATGCTATAGGGATCTGAGATTCATTTCAGAGAATGACTGGCATTTTTGGGGAGGGAAGATATTTTTTTAAGCTGAATTAAAATATGAATGCACTTGCAAAGTGAGCTTAAATCTAATGAAACAAAATGTGGGACCAAAATCTGGTAGTCAGCAATGAAGATAAAAATAATTAGCAACACAAACAATTCCCATTAAAAAAAAACTCAGCATGGTAGATGGATCTTGTCCTGTTTGAAAATATAATGTCTCTGCAAAATGCACAAAAATGAGCTCCTAGAATTTCAGTACTTTGACAAAGCCTTAAAAAGAGCTGAAAACGAGGGCGTCCTCACTGTAAACGTCAGCGACTTGGCCAGGCTTTGGGCAGTTGGCATTAACATCAATGCTAGTGTTCAGCTGACATCCTTGTTCAATGTATCTTTCTTATTGTGACTGGCAAGGGACAAGAGCTATTGTGACTGAAACTTTGAAAGCAATATTTAATTAAGTAAATTGATGTGCTCATTGGGGAAACTGCAAATCATTTCTATGTGGCCTTTTTTTCTTTATTAAAGGCTCTTGAAGGGATGCTCTTTGCATTCGACACAGTTTATGTGTTTACAATAAGTACTTAGTGGTTTGCATATTTCAGCTCTCTGCTTGCTTGGTGGGTGTCAGTGGTGGAGTTTTTCATTTAAACCTATGCATTCTCCACCTATAACTTCAAGAAAAAATGCATTTGGTGGTGTCTGACTTGTGCTGAAGGTACAAATCATCCTTCTTATTAAAGTCTGAAATGTTTTTCAGTTCTGCTTAAGGACCTGAAATGGAAAAATAGAACATTTCAGAGGGCTGCTTCCCCCCTGCTTCCAAAAATGTTTTTACATACACAGTGCTGATGGAAGTGAAAAGGAGAAAAATGCTAATGTTTTGGAGGGGAAAACAACTAGCAGCTTGTGCAGGGAGATGCAATCATTATCCTCTGCTTGGGCCTCCTGAAGAAGAGGGAGAAACCAAAATGAGAATGCTAAAGGGTTAAGCACAGCGCTGAGAGCAATTTTTCTATTGTTTCTCTATTAATATCATTCGCCAACTTACCACTCATCACCTTTTCCAAGCAGTCTCCCTATAGCAACAAATGGCGCCATAGACAAACCAGATGCAATCTCGTCTCTGTTTTCTTTTCATAAGCGTTTGCAAATTTGTTAAAAAGAAAAGTAAGGGAAAGTGGGAGAAAAATGTTTATTTTGTAGAAGCTGCACCAAGGAGCATTGAGAACAGGGGACTCTCTTTGCTGTAACACCCCCTCTGCTATCTGATGGGCCTCTACATTTCTGCAGTATGATTTGATTTCCTTAAAGTTCGGTGTCATTTAATTGAACCTAGATTCCCTTCACAGCAATCCTGATGATCCTGAACCTGTATTCTGAATATTTAAAGCGTGCTGTCAGAGCCCTAGGTCCAAAATGGGACTCTGTTCCACCCCACCTTTAGTTTGCAGCTAATTTTCATCTCTCTTTAATTCCATAACACAGTATTAGTTTTCCTCAATGACATAGCTGGACATACTTGCTACATGCATGTTTTTCTGTCTGCAGCATGATAGCATGAATGAATGGACTGTTTTTTGTTTTTTTTCCAGCAATGCTGCTCAAAGTCCTTATATTTAAATCTTCCCTTTACTAGGTAAATCTATCATTTTTCTTTAAAAAGAAACCTATTGCTGTTTTTCCTTTTTTGGTCTCTAAGCTCCTTTCAGTTGTAGCTGACTTTAAAAGATGGAAAGCATTTATCTGTCTTTACATGGAGAACAACCATATGCTTTATGTGAATGTAGGTTATTTCAGTTTCGAAAAAAACCCTACCCAGCACCCAAACAAAAACCCCTGCCCAAACCCCAAAGTCATGAAAACAATCTCAGTAAGATCAGATCCTTTGTATCTCTTTTCTTGCAATTGAATCTGAGATGAACATAAAATGCCAAGTGTCCTTGCTTTAATAAGCAGATTTCTAGGGTTTTAGAAGCATAAACTATTGTTGCATTTATAAGAGTTACTTATTTTCCTTTGATGCATCTTTTTTATAACTCATGAGATGTCAGTGAGCTGCACAGGCTGGGGTCTCACGTTGTGTGTGTGCTCGTCAACAGTCCAGGTAGAGCTTCTGGAGACGGCTGGTATGAAGGAGTCATCCTCCCCCATTTAACCGCCGAACTGCAGCGAAGGCTAGCCACAGCCGATTTAAAGCAGTTGTTGTTCTGCAGCAGCAGCAGATTCCTGTAGCTTTTACGAGGAAGTTAGATGATTATAAATGGGAGGAAGATCAGTTCAGCAATTGTGAATCCTTGCTGCTGCTCGTTTCTCAGTATGGAGCCTTGAATGAGTAGAACGAACTTGTATTTCTTTAGAAAATACAACTGAGGCAATCTTTTACATTTGCCACCAAGATACAGAAAAAACTCATTAGTAAAAAGAAATCAACCTTACTTCCTTCCTGTCAATTGCACAACAATTATATTCATGTTTTTCCCATCTCATTTGATGATTTGCACACATGTATGCGCATATAGGCTGGTTGGCCTATGTAAATAACCAAGACAAGACCTGAGAAGTTTATTGCCTTGTATGTAAGATTTTTTGAGAACCTCTGTCACCTCTTTGACCAGTGGGGAGCTTTGCCATGTGACATTAGTGGACCAAGACTTTGCCCAGTGGTGCTAGCCCCTAACACTGGCAATCTGCCGAAAAGCCAGTCCGATTTCCCGTCTGAAGTTGCGTTTGGGGTGTCTGTGGCTCCTGGTGTTGAACAGGAGAAAAAAACCTTATGCTCAGATAGATTTTCCTGACTTTTGAAGAGCATCTTGTCCCCTTATCTGTTGCAGACTGTGCTGTAAACACTTCTTTAACTACTTCCAGAGCTCATTTCCACAGGCACAACATTTGGCTGTGCCATCTGATTACCACAGAAAACAGTCTTACACAGTCACTTTGCTGCCTGCGCTATACTCCGTTATCATCCAGCCGGTGTTTACAGGATGCCACAGTTAACGCTGCCCAGATGCTCTATCTGTGGGAAGCCTAGAAACCAGGCAGCACCGGCCGCCAGTGTTTTCCGAATTCAACCGTCTTATCCGAGGTCTAGCCTGTTTGTGCAAGCCGGGGTCACGCCATGGCCTGGGTGTTCTGTCAGTTAGCCCTGACAGGAGATAGCACTGCTGAAGATGTTGAAGTTTATGTTGTTTAGGCCACTTATGGCTTTTCAGCAAACATTTTAGAACAAAGTGATGTGGTTCCCCTGGCGGCTTGTTGACCTAAGAGTATTTTTTAACATAAGACTACGGGTAGGAATACTGCCTCCTCTCTAACTACAGGAACTTTTTATGCAGTTGCTAGCAAAAGGCATGGATATTGCAGGAGTTGCATGGTTTCTAGAAGGTAGACTATAAATGGTATTTAGCCTGTGTTTTCCTTTGGTCATTATTTTTGTCTTTGGGTGTGTATTTTTTTCCATTTTACTATTTCACACATGTGCTGATGGTTACTAGAATCAGTTGTATCAGCTTTTCAAGGATCAGCTTTCCTAGGATAGCTTGCTCTTAAGCAACACACAAAGTTTTCTTGTGACATATTTTAGAGGGCATGTGTCACATTCACATACCCACTAATCCTGAGAATTGAAGAAGTAAAACCATTTTCAGCCATGGTGAGTGGATATCGGAAGTAAAATATGCAATCAAACTGTAGTGTCATTATAAATTCATGCCAATGATATTTTACTGAAAAGAGTTAATGTTTTTCATAAAGTAAGCACTTCAGAAATGGTCATGTTCCCCCAAATACCTATCTGGAGTGTAAAAAAATGTCAAACATTTGTAGCACCTCTATTCATTTCCTACAAATCGTGTAGAAGGCACAGAAATCTCTGGCCTACGCAACTCTTAAAAATTGTATAACTTACTATGTTTTTTTCAATAAGCATTTAAATTTCATCATCCCTTTTTTGAAACTTTTTTTTTTAAACTGGGTTCTTTGGAGTTGTGTATTTCTATTTAAGAAAGGGGTTTTTTGTTTGTTTGCTTCCTGAGAAATTAGTATTTTGTTTCCTGTATATTTTGACCTTCTTATACAAGAAACTTTTGTGTACAATATGCAGACAACCCCATTACCTGAGGTCCTAATATACTTTTCAGCATGTGAATAAGAGGTTTCTTCCTTTAAGGGCTGGAGGTAGGGTTCTTTTAACTGCTTCATATCCACATTCCAAAACCTATTTAAAAACCTGAGTCTAAAGTCCAGCTGACAATGAACTCTATTTTCAGCTAAAACCCCCTCCTCCCCCGCTTCACCACACACTGTTTCTGCTGCTGGTCCACTTGTGATAAAGCCCAAAACTGCTGTTTGGCTGACATGCAGAAGGAGTTGTTTATCAAAAGGAGGCTATTCTAGGAGGATATGCTCTTTAAACAGAACAATGGGATTTTGAAGATAACCGAATCAGTACTACATAGGTGTTAGATCTGTTTTAAATTGTTTCTGTGTTGGAAAGTAGGAGGGGGGTCCGGGTATTTTGGCTTTGAATCCCTGGCTTGCAAGTGTGAAATGGCCAAATCCAAATTAGCTGCCAACTGTGCTTTGTCCTGCAGCTCGGTGTGTCTGTAGGGCATGAGCACAGTGCTGGGGGTGTCAGGAAAGGGGCCCCAGAAAATCCAGTTTCATTTTCTGATCCAGCTGTGCCTTGCACTTCACCCAGGGTTTTTTAATCCATCCTTGGTGCTGCCTAGTTCAGACAGCAGTTCCTAAAAGCAGATCTACAGGTAGAGTCATCTTTTACTAATTAGATCAGGTTATAGACGTGTACCCATTTTACTGATAAAATCAGTTGGTTTCTGGACATGCAGAGAAGCATCAACAGCTGGTAAGTGAAAGGAAAAACCAGGGAACCTCACGGGAAACTTAGCTCTGTACAGAAGATCAGCAGATGAATGTGATGCATTTTTGTTTGCTCACCTCTTCTGCAGAGGGAGAATCTCACCAAAAATAAAGGTGACCTTCAAAGGCCAGGGAGAACATTACATTTTCTGGTCAAGCTCTTTGATGGCTGTTTCTCTTCTTTCTCTAAGCTATGACAATCCCTAATTTTCTCTAATGAAAGATTTTCTTCAAGTATTTTCTCAGACATTTGTGTTATTTTGGAATAACACCCTAATATCCATCACCACATCCAACTGACAATTCCCCTTTCTCACTTGCAGCGGTCTTTTGTGGTACAGCGATCCCATTTAAAAATCTCTTTACGAAAATAAAAAAGTTAAGATTTCCTAGAAATAAAGAAACGTCAACTTTTTTTTCTTTTTTTTTTTTTTTTTTTCTCCCTGGCTGACAGCCAATACCTCTGCCTGTTTTCATATAATGCCTCTATACATTAAAAGAAAAGGGTCAGAAAACTTTCTTCTTCTTTAGTGCTGATCATGTGCAAGTGATTTATTTAAGGCCACACAATGAATTGCTTGCAAGAGCAGGATGATTCTTGCTGCCAGTTACCTGGTTAAGCTCAGCCTAAATATGCTGGGATATTTGCAGGTGGTTCAGGAGAACACCTGGAGGTACCCACTTTTCCTGGAATGTCTCTTTTGGTTGAGTAGGGAAGGGGAGAGTTCTTTTGTATTCAGCTGGTAGATGTCTCCTGGCCCCAAAATTTGGGAATAATGTCTATTTTAAGCTGTGAATTTCCTACCTTCTCCCTCCTCCAATACAAATGCAAACTTAAATTCTTTTAGGTGTGGAAAGGGCACTTCAGTGACCCCTGCCTAACATCACTGACACACTTTGGCATCCTCACCTGAAGCCTGGATTTATTTTCTTAAAGATTCCCACTAGGTAAACCCCATGGAAAAACTAACTCTTGACAGCTCTTGCTTGTTTTGACCATCACCTTTTACAGCCAAGTGTGATGATGTGGAGACAAGGAGGGGCAGTCCTCTCTTGTCTGTGCTAGAGCCAGCCTTGCTCTTTGGTTTTTATTCTGTCCTGAAGTGATGCGTTTTCAGAAGCTGTATCACACAACTAGGAAGAAAAGGCGACTCAGACAGACGTAGGGATGCGCTTTACGGAGCAGGGTAAGCTGTGTAGGCTGATTATTGCAGTAAGTTTTGCCAGAGGCAGTGCTGGCAAGAGCGACAAATAACAAACCCTTTTTTGTGCCTGCTCAGAGTAATTGCGTCGCAAGGGGACACAAGTACGTCTCAGTCAACAGTGACAGCCCCAAAGTTCCCTGTGGTGGGCAATCCTGGTGGAGCTACGTGCTGTCCTCTGCTGTTAAAAGTTTGCAGACCGCTTCGTGGGTAGGTCACCTGGCATTTAACCAAAATAGATCTTATTAAACCAAAATGACCCTATTTAACTGAAACGGATTCCTAAAGAGGGATGGGGCTTTAATTAGTGTGTCCCAGTACAGATTTAGGGGCCTATTGTTTGCCCTTATGCTTGAAAATACTGCCCTTGATTTTTATGTATTTATTTTTTTAATCTTATCAAAGCCAAGAAACTGTACTTCCATTTGGCTGCATGTTTGCTGGCTTTGTTCTAATAATGCTTGACCTACCCGCGTAGATTTAACTGACTGGGAATAAGGGTTGTGCCTAGTTATCGCCATAGCTCGTATACGTTGATAGAAACCAGTTTTTATGGCAACGCAAAGGGTAGAAACCCTACTTAAGAGGAAATACATTCCCATACTTCAAAATGCCAACCAATTTAGCAGAGGAAGCATTTATACCTTGCAGTGGTGCTGGAGTCTGGTGAGTGCTTCTCTGGTGGGTACCTGCACGCCGAAGTTTGCCAGCGTAGGAGTTCAGCGCATTGATTGCTGCCGCTTGAACTCTGGACTTGCCTTGCTGATTGGTTGTTTGCTTTAACCACAGCACTGGATGGAGCTTTTGGAGACTATCACAATGTAAATAAATACATGTGTGTTTGTTTCTAGCCTGTTAAAAAAAAAAAAAAAAGTGTATGTGTCAAAGAAGGGGGAAAAGCTGTTAAGGATTCATTTGCATGCCTTTGAGATGCAGGAGGTGCAGGAAGCAATGGATTTAGGGGAGGGCTAGCAAAATCATTCCATAGGGGTATAACAATAGGGAAACACAGAGAGTGGTTAGGTGCTGTTAGATGAGATTAGTGCGGATTGATTTGGCAAGTGGTGTTTATTTTGCTATTAATCGTACAGAGGTACTTAAAGCTTGCAGAAGAAGTCTTATTCCACAAATCAACGTGAAGAATGGTTAGTTTGGTGGGCTGGTTGTTTGGTGTGGTGTGTGGTTTGGTTTTTTTTTTTTATATCATTCATGGGAAGAGATTACAATTTTTTAAATAAAAGGCTAGACTAGAAGTAGAAAATGAAAGGTGGCAGTAAAGTAGTTCAGGCGTGCTAAATTCCTCTAATGCCATGATTGTCCCTAGGCTGGATTTTTTGTTCATCTTTTGCACTAGTGATATTTTTCTTTGTGCTTTTGCCCTTGTTGTTATAATTTTAAATGTGGTGAAATATGCTGACTTGTACCAAGTTCTATGTTTCAGCAAAGGACAGACTGCAAATAGAAAGAACAAATGAATTTACAGTTGGCTAGAGCTAATTTTGTGTAGTTACTAGCTTACATCATGGATTTCTCTGCCAGTTAGCTGTTTGAAAGTAAAATAGGAGGCATGGCATGGCCTGGAACTAAGGGAAAGGTTGGAGTTTCAGGGGGACAGCCTCTTCATGCCATTGCCAAATCACTTCTCATTTACTTTGCATTTGCAGGCGTAAAATAGAGCACAAGTCTGACGGCTGCAAACAAGTCTCCTCAACACTTGTGGTTTCCCATCAAAGGTTTTACTTACTGTAAACTTTTTCTCACTTTTTGTCAGGGAGAAATCTGTTGTAAGACATGGCCATGGAGTGTCAGAGAGTTCAACAAAATGGCCTGTGATGAAACCTCCCCGCCTCTCCAGTGCACCTACTGCTGCTCGCAGAGCTCCCCAGAAGAGCCTGGCTCAAAACAGCCACCCTGGAAGTAGGTGGTGATGCTCGTAGCCAGTGGGAACCTTTCCAAGTGGTATGCTCCTGGACTAGACGATCCCTGTTCCACGCCCTCAACTCTCTTCCCCTCCTTCCTTCTGGTACCTGTCTGTTACGCTTCTTGTCTCCCGGTTTGGCTGCTTTGACTACACAGATGCACAATTCCGTCGCTTTCCAGTCTCTCTTAATCCCACTGTGAGGGAAGGCTGCTTCCGTTGCTTTGCTCCCTCGTAATGCAACTAAAGCCACCGTCCTCCTCCCTCCCTCAGCAAGGGAGATGGTTTGTCAGTGGAGCTTCTCTTGACCTCCAGCCCCCTCCCATCAGGTACCTCTCTTTAACGTGCACCTTTAGTGGATAAAGGAATAACGGGCTCCTGCTTTTCTCAGCACAGGTCTTTCTTGCTGGAAAGGGACTCATATGATCTTTGGAACATACACGTGTTTGCCCCTATATTATTTTACTAGTATAGCCTTTTCCCAAGTCCCAAATTCTGGCCTATTTATCCACATTAGGTGATCTGTTTTTTCCTCTCTCAATTTCTAAACCAAATTTGAGCTATCTATTAAGTGCTACAAAAACTATGTGTAGACCAGTACTTTCTGGCTTAAGTTAAACTGTAGGATGGATTTGTATTTTTCAGCATTTCCTTTGACCCACTTTGCTAAATTAGTTTCCACTTTCCTTGAAAAAGAATGTCTTGTCTCCTTTCTGGTTTTGCCATTTCCTTTTGTTGGCTGAAATATTTAATAAAAAAGTTGCAGCAAGTAAAAACCATGGACAAAAGTGTAAGCGGAGGAAATTTCATTGGCTGAACAATACAGAAGGTCAGCCTTGGTGACCTTCATTTTTAAATGTATTTTCAGACCTTCCTCAATTCTTAACTGAATACAACTGTCAAGATTTTTTTCTTTGTTTGAACTGCTTCCATTAGGCAAGCTGAAGATAAATCTTATTCTTGTTCAGATTTTACTTTTGTGATGCTTGTGATGATGCCATCATCTTTGGTCATCCACAGAGTGTTTCATAGTAGATGTGTTGCCTGGTAAGAAATGAGTGGGCTCCCTCTCCCTGTACTGATTTTTTTGGGGGAGCAGAAAAAGGCAGCTTTCAGATCTTCATTGTGCATTTGAAGTTATTTTAAAGAAGGAAGAATGGAAAATGAGATGGATGCTCTCTCTGCCCCATTGTAGCCACCTCTTAAACACACGGTACCGTTCTTGGAAACAGTGAGTAATCCTTACCTTCGCGGCTCTGCCAGCCTGGCCATTTCAGGTGAGAAATGAAGTGTTTTGCTGACGCAGGGCCCTGCTTACTCCAGTGGGTTTCTCTTTGTGCCTTTTGAAATGCCAGAAAATCTAGTGCAGGGGTCACGCGAAGGGAAATTAATTTGGTGACATCTCGTTTCGGTTCCCGCTTATCCTTATCACGTGCCTGTGCCCTCCTCCGCGGGCTGGCAGGGCCTCTGCGGAGCGGCGGGTGACAGGAATAGCAGGGAGAGCTGCGCTGGGCTGGAGCGGGGCTGGCTGCCCTGCCTGCAGGGAGCTGGCTGGCTCCCCGCCTGCCCTTGCCCACGTGTGCCTCGAGCCCCGCCGTGTCACACTCCCTCTCGTACGTGCGGTCTTTCTGGATGGTTTAAGAAAAGATAGTCCTGAAAACGTAGCGTGGCAGTTTTAGAGGCTGACTTCGGGCAGGGTTTACACGTCAGACACCACCAGATCCTGCTCGTCTCTGTACAGCTGTACCTGCTCTGAATTTACCTTGGCTGTGGGGAAGAGCTCGGAGTTCCAGATGTGACCGAGAGGAAAAGGGCTTGCCGGTGTTGTTTGGAAAGGCGGCACGAGAGGGGCGCGCGAGGTGGTTGTGTCAGGGTTTGATGTCTTGGGGCTAGCTGGAGCTGTATCAGCGCAAACCATACGTAGGAGGCAGGACAAGTGTGGTGAAACCCACAACAGAAGATGCTCTCATCTCAGCGCAATGCACCTATACCAGGACTTTGTGGTATTGCAGCCACGTAAGTGTGGTTCAAGCATTGTAAAGCAAAACCCTTCCAGATATCACAAATCATTCTCCTTTTGAAAGTTCTTCATTGTTTCAGTCTTCCCCTGTCTCCCAGGCTCAAACTCCTCAGCATCACCCTCTAGATTAAGCATAATAAATCTTGCCCTCATTTTTTTAATCTTTTCTTGTTGCACACACTCCCCATGCTATGGAGACTGTGGAACTCCTTTTGTATTATTTTCCTGCTTTCAAGGCGTACCTACTGTTTAGCACCGTTAATCATTCACACCATTACTCAAAAAACCAACATCTTTCTCTGTTCTGTGTGAATTTGACAGTGTGAAAAGCGTGCACCAGAAACTTAACTGTAATCACCTGCTGTTTTCTCTATAGTTACCAGTAAGCAAATCCACTATAAGTATTTGTATCTCCACTTCGGGTGCCAAAGAGACACCGATAGCTTTTGTGCCAGTCAGCTGTTGGTCTGACATGAAAAAACACCTCACTGGAGCAGGAACCTTGTCCTCTGCTCGTCTTTCTGCTGTTTGAGAATTCATATTGTAGCTAAGATAGTTTAACTATTGACGCGTGTTGGAGCCACGTGGAGATACCCAAATTTGCCCTTGTCTTAGGTTTGGCTTGGAAATAGCTTCATTTCATAGAGTTAGCAGTTATAGCTATTTTTGAAAATGTTTAAAGTCTGCACATACCTGGATAAACTTTAGAGGGCCTTTCTTAGCTCTTATTTTAGCAGCGTGTTTCAATGATTATGCTAGTGACCTTTTTCATTACGAGAATTCACGTTAATTCATGGCAAGCCAGGACATTATTATAAACCTCTTGACTGTTCCATTTTTTAGGGCTTTGAAATGTAATCAAAGGTGGATTTATCTGATACTAAGAGATGAAACAGTTACCAGCCTTAGGTTTCCTCCCTTTTATTTCTCTAGGAGGTTACTGCCAGAGTAAACTGAAATTGGAGGTGGTTTATGTTAATGCTGCAGCCTGTAGACTGCACTTGCTCAGGAGTTTATCCAGGAGGATCAGCTGATCCCGCTGCAGGATGGTGACCTCTGGCAGAGACACAGGACAGAGACAGCTGCTTCAGCTCTCCCAGCTAAACCTGCTTAAGGCGGCGAGTGGGAGTTGTTAATACCATTATTTGTTTAATTGTAGGGCTAATAGATTTTTTGTGTGTGTGTGTGTGTGTGCTTTACTACGATAGAATACATGAAATAGAAGCAGAGGAAAAATTGAGTGTGCTACTTGGGAGCTGGTTCCCAATTATTATTCCTTTTTATTAACAAGAGCTTAAAATGAAAAGTAACCAGAAGCATACTTGGCTTTAAACTCTCCAGTTGTATAAAAAGGCATCCCACCCTGAAATGTCTGGTGCCATGGGGGTGTACAGTGCTTTTGGGAATACAGGGCAAGGGTGAATTTTTAATTAGCTTAGTCGTCTTATTTTCCTCCAAATATAGATAGGCGCTTCTTAGCTTTCTCAACTTTAGTGCTTGAGAATAGGCAGCCAAATGTGCTCTGGGAACTATTTGCTAGGGAAGTCTGTTAGAAAAATGGGAATCTAAAAGTTATTTATATTTTAATAAAGAAAGGATAAAGTTTTAAATGATGATAGCTTTATGGAAGTACAACCCTTCCCTCCCCCCCCCCCCGCCCCCATAATTCCCTTTATAAACAAAACAGAGGTAAACCAAATACTTGCTTCGCAAGCTACTTGCAGGGATCACACTGGCATTGTGTGCTGGCCTGCAAAGTGCTGCATCCTTGTTTCAATATGCCCAAGCCCTGAAACTCCTAGGGAAAGGCATGGGTGCTGTGGGAGCTACCTCCTGTGCTCAGGCCCACTGCGAATCCGCAAGTGATGGTCCTCTCAGGAAAGAAGCGGAGGGCACTTGGCAGTGGAAAGTATCTTGCCCATACTGGAGATGGTGACAGAATTGGCAATGAGGAGATGACTAGTCATTCTGCAAGGCCTGGTCTGGGGCCAGTTTTCATTTTCGTCTTGTTCTCTTTCTGTTTTTCTTTCTCTCTCGCTTTTGTTATTTATACCAATGAGCAAATGTTGCTTATTTTTAGCAGCCTTTCCATTTTGCTTAGGCGCTGATCCCAACTAATGGAATGCCTGTGGCCCCCCCTAGGGCACCATCCCACCTCTAATAAGAACAGACAAATTCAAGCTTTGGTGTAGGGAGTTATTGATTTGCTTCCAGGCAAGTAGGTGTGTGCAATACATGTAAAAGGTGCCCATGTATACCATATATTAGCACTCCAACATCTTAGCAAATGACCTTGCGTGATCTGCCTTGGGCTGTTGGTGAGAAATTATTTCTTTATGTTGTGCAGCTCCATAAAGCAAGCAGCCTTGCAACTTGCTTATTTTAGAGCATGTAAAGCCAACGCAAAAAACCCAAACACACCCAACCCCCCCTCCCCCCGCCCCCCCATTTCCACAAACAGAGCAAAAGCAAAGTCCTACCTCAAGTGCAGACAGTTTCAGTTCTGGCAGCAAAGTAGATGGGTCAATTCATGGAAACAGATGTAAGAGTTACATAGATAGAACGTGATGCAAGTGCCATTTTTTTTCCTTTTCTCTTCTAGATCTCATGTCACTGGGTTATTGCAGAGATGCTAAAACAAGGGACCCAGAGTCCCGAGGGAAGCAGTTATGGAAGGACTTCCACCGAGGTGTGGATGTCCAGGGAGCCCCTGCCTCACAGCTTAGCAGCATCTTCTGCTGAGTGTCCTAGCAGCTTTGTGACTGCTTTCCTACTTTAGGAGACAAATGTCTGACCTTAGACACTGCCCCTCTTCTAAACCCCTTTACGTTGGAAATAAAATGTGAGGGAGGGTGTATCCAATGTGAGATAACAAAGCTTATCCTTTCCTATGCCTATGCAAAGTTTAGCCAAAAGAACTTCAGAACCAAGCAGGAGTAGCTACGTACTTAAAATGCAAGGTAGGAGATAGAGACTTTTATGCCTTGCACATCAACGCCAGTCCTGCTTCTCCTTGAGGTATGAGGGGTTTGGTAGGAGAACACGTGCCCTTGGTCACTGCTGCCTACTTTGCATCAACAGAGGTTCACTCCTAGACCCTAACATTTGTATGGCTGTTGGTGAGGTGTTTTCTGGTTTATGCCTATTGCAGTTTTGGCTGGAGGGAAAGCAGGTGGGGAGGTTTTCCTACACCCTCAGTGTCACTGGGATCCCACCCAGCCTGCAGGCATCACTGCGCAACTGCTTTGTTCTCAGTAGGGTCTGGCTTAGTTTAAACACTTTCTATAGGTTTTTGTCTTCCCTATTTTCAGGCCTGACTCATTTTGATGGGGTTAGGGACTTACTACATGTGTGCTGATGGAGGAAGACAGGAGGCTAGGGGGATGTTACTCAGGTGCAGCCAGAACAGCTGAGGGCCCAGTGCTTAATTTGCTAATGCCATGTCAGCCCAAGCATTCTCACTTTTGCCACTGCTAGGGAATTACCCCTGATTGCAACTGAAACATATCGGAGACAGGAGGAGGAGAAGAAGAAACCTTGTTTAGGAAAAAAAGTTATGCTGCCTTTGAGAGGGACCCAAATACCTTTTCTACTATAGATCTTTGTAATCCTTCCACCTTTTACCTGCTCTGGTTGCTGCTACTTTCATCCTTGCTCTGGTGGATCTCTGTGGTGAAGCAAGTCTGTGCCAAGTCCCTGTCTTGTTACTGTCATTCAAGGCACAGCTTTTATTTACTATCCTGAATCCAGTGGAAGGGGGAAAAATGTCTATTCTGAAGCTGCTCTTTTAAATTCAGCCCTATTTGTATATTACGATCTGCATGCCTCTCTGCCCCCAAATTACTAAAATTGCAGCACAGTTGTCCAAGGCTTATTTTTTAGTAAATGACTCTTAGAACTGGCATTCAGATTAACTACCACCTCAGTCCAAAACACAGCAAGACATTTAACATGTGTGGGATATGATACCCATCTCAAATAAACACAGCGCTGCGTCACTCGACGTTTTCCTATTTTCAGGTAAGCGGGCTGGTGTTGGGGTAGTCTCTTAACACCTCTGCTCGGAGCAAGCCAACTTCCTTTCTACATGGAATAATTATTTTTTCACATAAGCCCTGTAGTACCGCTGCTGTGTTTGCACTTGTAAGTCTCAAACATTTCAGTACAGATCACCCTTTATGAGTGGAATCTGAGGTCATGTGTCTGCATTTAAAATTCACTGCGCACGGGCTGTCGTGCGCTGGCTTGTCAGTTCTGTAGGTGTAGGGGCTATGGGCCTGTATTTCAGGTCAGGTGTGAAGAAAGCAGGGCCTTTTTTAGTGCTTAAGGCACCCATGTGTGCAACTCGCAGCTATGAGTACCTCTGGCAGAGCTTTATGAATTCTGTTGATTCATAGCTGGCATTTCACCATCTGTATGGGCATGATTACATATAAATATATATGCCCTGTACATAGGACCATTTAGAGCATCCCTACAGCATAAAAGTAAAGTAAACTTGGGCACAAAAGTCATTACATCTCTGTGGAAGACCTGCTGGGGAGAATATCGAAAGGCCTTTCATCTGCCATAGCCCAGGGCTCACAAGTGATTTTAGGTGGCTGGTGATCCATGCTTCTGTTTATACAGTTCCAGCAAGGATTGAGGATCTTTAACAAAAGACAGTTGAGAAATAGGTGATGGTGGGAGAAGTGATTGTAACCAGTATGCCAAGGAAATGGTAGAGGTAGGAAGGCTTCTATCCTGGACCATGAATCCTGGGGCTTTCATGGATAACAAGTTGCAGCTGGAGTTGGAGAGGGTGTAATGACACACAAATCTTTGGTTTAATCATCTTCTAAAGTCATGCCCAGGGTTGGCTTACAGAAGATGAAAAAAGCTAATGAAGCCTGAGGAGGACTGATCTGCAGCTGTCTTCAATAGCTTTCTTGAAGGAGGTCTTTTTTCATTGCATATAATATAACTGCTGCATGTTGCTGTTTCAAGCAGCTGTGCCTTGGCTACTCCAATACGCTCATTGCTGGAACTATCTCTTAAAACTCTGGCCAGCACCTGAAAAAATATTATTATTTAAGATGGCATTAACATCTAGGTTCCAGCCACAATTTTGTGCTGGGCACAAACCAGTTGAAACACGAGAGGTTCTCCATGCCCTAGAAAGCTTATTTTCTATATGCAGACACTTAACTCTGAAAGAGCAAAAATGGGTAAAGGTGATCTAGTTTTTTTCATCCAATATGAGCTGGCTAGACCAGCCAGTGGGATTCTTAACAGGTGTGAGATTGCAGTAAGACTGGAGCAATCTGGCAGAATGGCAGAAAATTTGATTTAAAAAAAAAAAAAAAGTGCGTTGTGTCAATCCACACTCAGTAGCAGGACTAGGAGAAGGACCTGAAGAATGAAGGGTAAGACTGAATGTCAGCTTCTATTAGTATCTTTGCCACCAAATTCTTGTGTGTGTATTGCTAGATCCAGAATTTATACCTTGCACTCCTGTACGCCAGAATCTGTTAATCTTGCCCCAATAGCACAATTTGCAAAGGGCATGCCCAAGTGCACTAGCGTGACTACGACAGTGCTCGTGCAAGAAGTCCCCACAGAAGGTGAATTCTTAGCCACGCAGAGTATGAATTTGTAGAAGCAGATTGGCATGACAACCTGAAGGTAAAAAAAGAGCAAAGGAGAATATATTGATGCCGGACGTCCAGTGGTACAGCGCTGCAAAAAGCATGTGCACATGGCTGTGCTGCAGCGAGGAATGCAATCCCCTCACTTCTGAAACATTAAAAAAAAAAAAAAAAAAAAATCTGAAAGGTGTCTATCTTTATTCAGCGGATTTCTTTTCTTTCTTTTTTTTTTTCCCCTCAGCATATTTCCAGCTTTTTCAAATCAGAAATGTTTACTGTAGGGAGACTATTAATGAAACCTAGCAGAATGGTGACAGGAGAGGTAAGCGCATATAAATTCAGAAATTGAAGAGGTATGTTCACAGGGAAAAAAGGTACATTACCAACAACTGTTGACTAAAATGTGATAACTAGCCAGAGGTAAAAGTTTAAGGCTGTCCTCTGGGCTAACAGGCCCATGTATGGAAACTGGGAGAGCTCTGGGGTGAAAACTGCAGGCTTTCTGAATGCAATGTCCAGTAGCATGGCTAAGTTTTTAAAGTACTGCAAGTAAGGTGCCTTTTTGTCCTAGCAAGGATGAAGCATTAAATTATTTAAACATTTTGTAAATGTTTAAATATATGCTTTTGTTAATATGTTATTGGCTAGTTAATACTTTGAATAAAATTAATCATTGTGAAAGCTTTAAAAATCAACTCTTTGCAACTGATCATTTAATCATAATTAAAGGCAGTGCAGGAAACCTGAAACATCCAGTAGTTGCAGCAGTTTAAAAATGAGGAAAATTCTGAAATTCTCCAATATTTCTGATGCAAGAACAGAGGCAGGGAATTCATTTTAAAGAATTGCTTTTGGAAAAATATGCCTGCTAGTAATTTCTTTTTTATTCACAGAATATCCAAAAGAGGGGGAAACTCTGGGAAGAAAAAAAAAAAAAATTGCAACTCACTGCTAAAGGCGTTAATACGACGCTAACGAACCATAGCCTTTCCACCATGTAGCTGGCAACATTACCACCCATCTGTGCCGAGTGGGATGTGCAAGCAGAAGTCAGGGCTGAAAACCCTCCACCTGTTTTCGGAAAGTGCGTGCGCGCACACTGAGGTTACTCAGCGTATTCGTTCCATCTTTGGCGGTCCGGGCGATGTTGTTACTACTACTTTTCTGCTGTCTCATATCTCCCAGCACCGTCTGCCAGCTGATAGAGGAGCTGTGACATACCACACCCCCGCGGCCAGGAAGGGGGTCACATGGACTGGTCTCATCCAGAGCACTTTAAAGAAACTGATAAGCTCTATCTCGTTTAACTTGGCCTTTGGAAGACGCTTGTGGAAATTTCTGCAAAGGAGGTGACATCAGTTGTTGTCACAGCTGCTGTGTAAGTCTGCAAGACTGTTCAGTATCTGGCCGGGGTGTGTATGTGTGTGCAAGTAGATGTTGTTAGTAGATTGCCTTTAAATCAAAAAACAGTTCAATATGAAGTAGGTGAGGAGATTCGATCGCTCAGAATATGTGCGTTATCATCCAGGCTTGAGGCAGTGATGAAGTATGTAAAGTTAATAAAGCAGAAGGACGACCAGCTTTGGAGGGCCGATGCTACATTTGAAACAAACCTTCTCCTTGGGGAATTCCAAGTGTTAGCATGTGGGACATACTCCAGCTGCTAGCTGCTCAGACTTAAAATAAACCAGGCAAAATCCCATATTCAGGCTCTACCAACCGAGGCAAGCTGCTACTGCAAACCTTTCATGTCCCTTTTTCTTCCAGTTGGGTCAGAATGACAACAAATATTTTTGAAAGAGCATTTAAACCTCCGTATTTTGCACAGCTTTCCTTGTACTTCTCTGAAGTGACGTGTTTCTCAACGTAGTTATAAATTTAGCAAAGAATCTGGTTTGTACAGGTTGAAATGCTGTCCCAGGAAGGCTGGAATTAAAAAAGGGATAGAAGGAATGTTTCTGCCTTGTGTGACAATGACATTGCTACCGATACTACTGCTTTCTAACCTAGGTATTTCTGAAATCGCAGCATGACTTCATTAACAGAGGACTATTCTCCTTACTAAGTTCAACTGGGGAGAGCCTTTTTCTTAAAAGGAAACACATATGACTTTAGGGTGGTTTGCTTTTCGGTTTGGTTTTTTTTTTTTTTTTTCCCCCTTAACATATCGAAGAGGAAATAATTTAATATGTCTGTGGAAAACACCATAGCAGGATTTCAGGGAAGAAGACGGCTGAGAGGTGCATGGTTGTTTGACAACTAGAATATGAATAACATTGAGGAGGTCTGAAAATAGACTGCAGTACAGTTTGCTTTGTCTTGTGGTTTGAGATTGACTTCAGGTTTTTGGTTTTTGTTTGGTTTTTTTTTTTTTAAATTTTATTTTAATAACCCTTTGACTATAATTTATTTCTAAGGTACCAAGGTGCTTGGGAGGGGTGGGAAACAAGAAACTTAGACATTATTTGCATAGATAGCATTAATTTTTTTTTTAACATTATCCTTTATGAAACTCCATTCATTGAGACTACTCATTTTTTCTGTGATAAAACCTGTTAAGCAACGTAGTACACAACGTTTAAGAATTTAATGCTCTTATACTACTGTCAAAGCACAGATATCAAGCTATACCAGTCAGCCTGAAAAGTGCATGAGTGACTGACACAACCTCCCTTCCTGCTGCTTCTCTTCTTCCTTTAGACACAGACATACAAATTCTTGTTCAAACCAACAAGCTTATCCAGAATATATTTATAAGGGTGAACTCTGCCAGGCAATGGTTAATCACATACAGTGCTAGGGATATCTTTTGAAGGTATCCTGAACACTGTGACAGAAGTATTTGTCACTCAAACTATTTATAATTCTAGGAGTTTGGATGGCAGACACATGTTTATTTTTTTTTTTTTATATGAAATGGCAGCTCTTCCTTTGTACCAAAGAAATAGGCTATGTCTGTACGGACACGTCAGGCAGATCTGAAGCGTGCTGGTTTTGGGAAATGCCGTGTTTGCACCCCAGACGTGCTGCTGCTCACCCGATTAGTCTTTCTCTCTCACAGATGACTTTGTAGCTCCATCAACTGCTGGACCTCTTGTTTCTGTGGATTGTGGGAAGAGGTCAGTGCAGGGTAACTCATGAAACGTGAAGCTGTTGTCCACGTAGCACCTCCATTAGAAAATCTTTAAGGGCTTCCAAATTGAATAAAATTATGAGCCTCAGCTCTAGTGTTAACCAATTTTTTTTTTTTTTTTGATGGTGTGCAAAATTATACTAAGGCTAGTCAGCCTTTGAGAAATAAGACTGATAACCATCACAGTTTTTTTAATTCTTTTGCTAACCGCCTCAAGCAATTAGTTTTGAGGACTTTTTGACAAAGTCTGTATGCAGGTCATCCTTCCCTCCTATTCCTTGTTATGTATCTTGAATTATTCTCAGCTCTGTGTTTCTGGGAATCATGGGCAATGTATAGACACAACGCCTCCAGCAGGCACGCGAGGAATGTTATGAGGGTAGCAAGCTTCCCGTTTCCCTGGTCGCTCAGAAGATTTATGTGCCAGTATAATGAGAATGAATCATGAGCTGTTGTTCATTGACAGAGACCTTATGGGTCTGTCAAGACCATAACAAAACAAGAGGTTTTGGAAGTTGATAACCTTTGTGCTTCAGGTTTTGTTTTGGATAGATAGAAGAGGGGAAAATAGTTATTGGTAAATGTAAAACTGGATGGAGAAACTGAAGAGTATTAGCCAAGCTCTGGCAGTAAAGCTGAAGATCTGAGTTATTTATACAGTTGGAAAGAGAGTTGGGGTATTTTCATTATTTTGGCACATTTTATAGAGTCAGGAGATGCTCCTGCCTATAATTTTAGTTTCTTCTATTTTCTAGATGTCTGTAAGACGATGTGATGTATCGCAGCTTTGGTCTGAGCACTGGCCAAGTATAAATGGAGGGGCAGATTTTGAACTCTGAAACTGAGAAGTCTCTAGGTCACTCTAAACTTGCCTGGAGACAAGGCACGTTAACGTATTTTTTTTGCTGTTCAAGAGCAAGATAAAATGTCCATAGACAGAACCACTATTACTACTATATAAGTTATTCACTTCAACACCTTTCTCATATCATATCAAGTTAATGACTATTTTGTGCGTCTGGTGTACATCCAGAACCCCTGTTGTAAAGTCAAGGTTGCGCGAGATATCCCAGTGTGCATTAGTAAATGCTATAGCACACTATATTATTTTGACAAGTATCATAAAGCTATGTAAACAGAAACCATACTTTTAAGATTATTTTTTTCTAAAGCTTACAAAGTAATGATTAAATACTGAACTTTGATTTTTCAGACATATTACACTCCCTTCCACCCGCCATCCTAAATAGTAAATTCTTGGGAACCTAAAAGATAAGACCCTGAAATTTTTTTGCTTTTATACACCTAAAACGTAACCATCTTTAACAGAAGCCTAAGTATTGTGTCTACTGGAACCACTTTCATTCCAGAAGAAACCTCTGTCTTCTCTGGTATTTATTATTTCATAACATCCACTTTCTTAAAAATTTTGGTTGTCTCAAATGTTCCAGCAGCTCCACATTATAAGCTCTTGAGGGTGATTTAAAACTTCACTGTGCATTTTTGCAGCATGATAGCGAACTCAAACCAGAACTTAAGGGCTTAGGTCCTATTCAGAAGTTACCCACGTGCAAAAAGTTTTTTCTGAAAACTGTGGGAAAAACTGGGGGCTCTTATGCACGCGTCTGGAAGATAACTGGAAATAACTGTGATCTGTTTTGCAAAAACAAGAACCATAAAAAAAACCCCTCCCGGAATGACAAGAAGCATGCACATTTTCTTTCTGAAAGGCATTTTAACTTAGCGTTTTTACGTGTACCTACAATATGGTGGTTGGAGCGGCATGTGGAAGCGCTCCGTAACAGTAGTCCCATCACTGTCCTCGTATCTGTGCTGGCTGTAGTGGAGACAGACTGTTATTTACCCCAGCGCTGTTGTATAGCACCCTGTGAAAGTTCAAGGTATAACTGCGTACGTTGCTTAGTGTTGGCAGCCAGGACAGATGGCGGTGGGGAGAGTCTTAGGTTTGCCGTGCAAAGCCACCGAGAGTGACGCTTGTTGAGCCGGTGGTCAGATGGAGAGAGGGAGGCAGAAGGACTGGCCAGAACAGTCCCGTTCCCCTGTGTGGTGCAACCAGGGAAATAGGAAGGGAACAAAACTCCTCTCTCTCGGGAGCTCCATCTTTCCTAGGTGTGGTCCTCTGCCTAAATGATTTCATTCATCCCTGAACTTGTAATGGAAAATCTTGCATGATTACAACTTAATATACCATAGTCTGTATTTATGGCTGTGTTGGCTTGAGTTAACAGTACCTTTGGAGATACACTGCTTGCAAAACACGCACCACTAGCCAAAGCATGCCTTTTATCAAGATGGGTTAGGAATATCCAGTGCTTCCCTGCAGGCCTGTCGCTACCTGTAGCTGAATTTAATAACATGTATATTACTAGATTATTGTAGTGCGGTTTATACTGGCTTTTTTCTTCATTCTTTCGAATCTATTTATTTACTTAATTTTCCTACCACCAAGAAAAAAAGAAAAAACAACAAAACTATGAATACTTGCAAAAGCAGAGTCAGATGGTGAGACTGGATTGAAAGAAGATATTTAGGTTCTTAGGTTGCTGCTCAAAAGAGCCTGTGGGCTCAGCTATGCTAGACAGCCAAGTACGCTGTAGAGATCCCTCAGCTAATGCCATGATCGGAAGCTCTGTTAGTGTTGTTGTGTTCTCCCTGGGCTAATTAACAGGGGTGCCTCTCAGCATACCTAATTAGCTCCATTCCTGCAGCATCCTCAGGGGCAAGGCTAATTAGCGTGGGTGCTTTGCTATACAGACACAGCTATATTGCCTCTGGGATCTAAGCTACATCCGTGCATGGCGTTGCAATGTACCATGTAGACAAGCCAGTTTCCTCAAAGCTACCTCAGGATCTCTAACAACCTTTTGCTGTATAGACTTGC